ATAGAGTGGTTTTGTGTATCACGGACTCTAGTGCGTTATTTTGTTGGTTTTGTTTTCTTTGACGGTTTTATGTGTTCAATTCACTCTGTTGATTGCGTCGGGCTCAACTGCTTTACTTGACACATTCACTATCTTCTTTTGGGTACAGAAAGCAAGGTCAGACTATACATTTTCTGTTTGTCAAAATATTAATTACTAAAAATTTATGTTGTTGTATTTTAGTATATTAGTTTTTAAATATAAGTACTAACAATAGATTTAAGATAAACCAATTTTGTTACTGTATTAGAGAGTACATATTTAATTTCGGTAAATAAATTACAGTCCATTAAAAACGTTATTCTTTTAATTTTATTTTAAGGAACCTTTAGAGACGTGATTTCATTCGGCGATTGGTCGTCCGAGTATTTCGCGTCGCACAACACATTTTTAATTTAATAAAATGTTTGAGTTTTTAATTCTATAGTAAATAGCATTTGAATTTTTAATATAACTTAATTCATTTATTAGATATAAACATTTAATGTTTCAAATTTTTGAGCTAATATATAGGTATAATACACAAGGGATTACAAATACAGGTAGCTAATTGGTTTTTTATGATATTGCTATCACAGTCACGGATTGTTTATTATCAATTATGACTATCAATAGATATACTTTTTGTATTGTCAGTTAGTGTATTTATAAACTCACAATAATGTACCTTACTATCATTGATAATAACAATGCTGTGTACCTGCTAATATCGATGTCATAAAAACCAATTAGCTCCCTGTATTTGTAATCCCTAGTGTATTATACATGTATATTAACTCAAAATTTTGAAACTTTAAATGTTTATATCTAATAAGCTAGTAAAGTTACATTAAAAATTCAAATGCCATTTACTATTAAATTAAAAACTCAAACATTTTATTAAATTCAAAATATGTGTTCTCATTTAAAAAACAAAGTTGACACCCTTACAAGGCATAAGGGATGAACTTAAAATGTATTAAATAGTTAATAATTCAAGAATAATGTATAACTAAATAAAAAAAAAAAAAATGTTTAAATTATATTTATTCTGTAAGTAATTGAGTGGGTTATAATAAAAAAATCACTCTGTTTATACCTTTTAATTGTTTAAATATAATATTGAAATTTCGTAGAAAAAAAGCATATATTAATTATATAAAAGAAACAGGAAATAATAAACAATATGTAATAATAATTTGTTAGACATAAGGTAATAAATAATGTGTAAGATTTTATAGAACAAACGGTAGATCATTATTGATGAAAATGCAATAAATATATTTATATTGTTTTTCCTATCACTCAACAAACTATTTTATCAAGTGTGCTTTAAGATTATTCCCTACATACTCTAGTGTATTTTTTATACAGTGTCTCTATAGTCTTAACTTTTCTTACTTAATTTTAAACGTATATTTTTTTAAATAATTAACACTTTTCATAGTAAAAAATACGCTTTTATTAATCACATATAATTCTCTAAAATATATAACTACAAATCAACAATCAAGATTCTATCATCATCAGTGAATATCAGACTTTTTCAAAGACGATTTTTAAAATTACTTCTATCATCAAGTCAATACATATAATTTTTATTTGGACTCCGTTTAGTGAGTGCGCATCTCATTAATGACGATGTACATACAATAACCTCAAATTACTAGATGCTAATAAAAATTTCTAATGATTTACTATATTATAATAAACCAAACTAAATTTAAATTTACTTTATTTTATTTGAAATTCTATATTATTTATTTCATTAATGTTCTTGAACCTATAGATAAAAAAAAAAAAAAAGAAAAAAGAAAAAAAAATTGTAAATAGTTAGAATAGTGTATATATCATCATTTCTTAATGTATATAATAAGTTATTGTTTCCAAATGTCAAAAAATTATATGTGTTAACTGTAAGTCAAGATGACGAGATGTCAGGTAGACTTTATAATAAAAAAAAAAAAAAGAAAAAAGAACCTATATATAGTGATAATCAACAATGACATACTGAAATATTATTATTTTATTGTGATGACCTCAAATACAACTATGAACCATATTTTATCACATTTTATCATATAACTTATTTAAATTTCACTATTTTAATTTTCTATATTTTTTTATATTTATCGTTGCGTATTAAATTTCGTTCAAAATCTTATACTGTTTGGCGTAGAAAAACATTCCAATTATAAATTGTACAAGGGATTAAATTTTATATTATTATCTGTATTTATTTTAAAATAACAAAAATTTTGATTCTATATTTTATTTGAAAATAATTACATAAAATTTACCTGTGACAATATGTGAATAATTTTTATAAACGTACAATTTAAGTAAACAAGACAATTGATTAATTTATTTTAGATCATTTTAGATTTATCAAAATAGACTATAATATATGAGCTAGGAACCCCAAAACGTCTCGGGCCGTTTCCTCTCCCTAGGTAGATGGGCGGTGTATATGGTCGGGGGTATGATGAAAGGCATATGGTTCCCTTCCCATAGCATTGTGAAAGGTTAAGAGTATAAGGTAGAGGGTCTCCTCTCACTCTTAGTTAGTACAGATGGTAACACAAGTATGGGGGTAAGAGTAAATCTATATTTAGGGGGTACACAACTACATAAGAAGAGGGCATATACTCTGGAAAATGTGTAGTTTATTAGAAATTACTTATTAAATTGTAATAAATGAGTAATTATAAGATAGAAATGATTCATTGTAAAAGAAAAGGGCTATTATACAGGAATATATGTTTTGCGATTCGCCGAGTTTATATTTGATTTTGTTACATTATTTATTTAGGTCATACTTAGAGTACGTCACTTTCGAATTGTACAGAGATAAATCAGCGCTGACGTACTTACACAAAGCAAAGGACACAAACAGTAAGTTGACTCGCTGAGCATTACACCTGAGAAACCTAAATTTTACCACAACACACCTGCCGGGCAAACATAACGAAGTGCCCTAACGAAATTATCAGGTCACCCTACGGATGATCTGATAGACGATGACGCCCTTGATGACAATTTAATAAGCGCACCAACGACTAGTCCGCCTGCACTCGCCGCCACTCACGATAAGATCAACTCCATTACCGAAGCAAACGTCGCAATCTGCGACCGACCGTTTACCGGGTAGAGTTACGAAAGTGGCAAAACAACGACCTATTTATCACTTCGTTCATACAAAATTTACAAAAGTTTGCAATAGCAAACGAAAAACCGTACGTTATGAATAAGGGCATTTTTTTTTTCTTAACAGTATTTTACGTATTCGTATTGGCGTGGACACACCCGTAGTCGTACCCACTGACAAATTACAACATATAAATTGACGTTACCACCACGATCTTCTATCATGTTTCCACGGAAGGAGAGAAACGTACCGAGCGTTAAAACGACGGTTCTACTCTAAAGGGCTAAGAAACGCAGTTCGCATGTACGTAAAATGCCATATTTGTGCGTGCACTAAGTCCTTAAATAGGCGCCCCATGACCCGAGAGTTACGCGCCAATCCAAAAAGCCTCGGGAAGTGATCAGTATGGACCTGATGGGACCGTACCCCAGAACACCCAGGGGCAAGACGAACTTATTAGTAGTAACGGACTGCTTCATCAGGTTGACCGAAGCGTACCTTATTGGCGCGCCTACAACGAAAACGATTGGAGACGTGTTACAAAGGGAGTTTTTCTCACGCTGCGGTTACGCGTGTAACGCTCGTTGGAGAATGCCGCCCGCACTCCCTACCCGAAGTATTGGGAAATAACAAAACGCAAATAACAACAACAATAATAGCAGTGGCAACAATACTCGCCACGAACGAGGCCATCTCTTTCGTAGACGTCAGGCGACAGTCGCGAGTGTACGTGGATGGTGTACGCCGATAGAATTGGACGACGACGGCCTGATACAGGCGATGGACTTGTTGCTCTCTTACCCAAACTCACCGTTAAATCCGGAGCTCCCGGATGAGTAAGCCCTGTCCCCATATCCCAAGCGCGTTATGCGCGGTGATTAAGTCCCTCCCTCTCTTCCGGTCACAAAACGCGGGTCATTACCATCCACTCCATCAAACAAACAGCGTTAATATTGCGATATTTTATTTCGTTACGCGTTATTCATATTTAGCCTAAATACCGAACGATATATGCGCCCATTCGTTCGATCTTCATATTCGATCAGCGGCTTGATGGGGGGGAGGGAGTATTTGACACGGCCACGGCGTTGTCTCCCGTGTGACATTCCGCAGTCGTGCCAGCTCCTTCTAAGCTACCGCTCGTTTTGGTGTTATGTCCAATAAATGGCCAGCGTCGATTACCCGCCGCAATAAAACGTAAAATAGTCATCTTCATGACACCGCTCGGCACGTAAGTGTTACCTTATGTCAAATCAAGTGCCTGTCTCAAGAAACACGCCATTCGATTACTCTCAAAATAAATACAATATTGAAAAACAATTATAAATAAAATAATATTGACCAAATGTCAATCGTATTCTTATTAAATTATAGTTTTAAAATGTTTATATTTTATTCATTTTAGTAGGGGGTGCGATTGGTTCGTCGTCCAAACCACGAGCCGTCGCTGTTATTACATTTTATTATTGGGCCTATTTAAATTTTACTCATTTTAATTATTAACTATTCACTATTTTTTTGTTACACTCATCATAACATATAACTTTTTGTGCAAAGTCTTATACAGTTTGGTGTAGAAAAACAATACAATGATAAATTATACACTTGGTTAAATTTTAAATTATTATCTGTATTTATTTTAAAACAATTGATATTTTAATAGTATATTTTATTTTATTCGAGAACGAATAAATAAAATTTACCTGCGAAAATATATAAATAATTTTTATAAACGAAACATTTAAGTAAACAAGACAATTGAATAATTTGTTTTAACGCATTTTAGATTTTTTTAAATAGACTGAATTGTTCTATATAAACTAAGTTCATTTAATAATAAAAATTATTTTTCAAGTTTAACTAATTTATATTAAATTATTATTAAAAATGAATTTCTATATCTGTTTTGGAATATTACTTTGTTTTATGTGTTTAATAACCATACCTACGTTTTCAACCGGAATGTCCTGGTTCGGAACAAATGTGCGAAAACAAGTTTTTATAGTCATTATTATCGTTTTATAAATTTATTACTATTATTTAGTGGCGTGTGTGCCTTCTTTATATAAATAATTTGTTATTAATAATCTGCTTATAAATTTATAAGCGGATGATATTATAATACTCCAAGTGTATTATATTTTCCAAGTTAAATAAACTTGGAAAAGTAAATGACTATGGTCTTTAATATGATTCATATCAAACTCCCTCACGTAACGACATTTCCGTACTCTGAGTTCATTATTTTCCGCAAAATATTGTATTCGTGAAATAACAATTTATCTTTGGGTAATCTACGAAATCTCTAGTTATAGTCGCTAAAAAATTAGAAGTAAATAAACAAGAAAGTGAACTTGTGTTAAAAATTACTTAGAACGTATTTTTTCTTCTATGTAATTTAATTTAAGTTGCATCATCGCTATAAATATAATAAGTATATAAAAAATGTATGTGAATATTATACTGATACCATTTAACTTGTATACTATACAAAAGTTCATAAAACGTTAGTAAAACATAGATCACTTAAAACTTAAATATGTCTCCATCTTAGTATACATTTCCGTGTAGTAATGTAAGTTTGATATGAAATTATTTTGTTCTGAATATCTATAAACTTTTTAAGCAGTAATATTTATAACTAATATAATTGTTTTGCAGAATGATGCATTAATAGAAGCGATTTTTAATCCATTAAATGAGGTGAAGTGTTACAGATATTAAAAAAAAAAATTTTAATTTAATTTTTTTATATGTAACTTTGTAAAGAAGAGTACGTATGAATACATAAATTTATGAAATAATGATTTTATGAATAATCCAAGGGCACAATGTGAAGAAGTTTCTCAGACTGTTTAAGGGCGTTAACTTTATTTTATTAAAAGAGAACGTACATATTCAAATACCTATTAAAATAGAACATTATAAAATTAAAAGAATAACTGTCTGATAATAAAAATTAAACGAATAGCGGAATTGACGCGCACTTAATTACAAAATATTACTGTAAGCTGTCATTTGTTTGTACAGTCTCCAAACTTAAATTTATTTTATAAAACCACATGGTAATTCTCTGAGTAATCTAAAATTTTATAGATTAACTATTTCTTTCAAAAAAGATATTTTTTTATAAAGAAGTAAACTTTTTCTAAACCAATTGTGTAGTGTTATCACAAATTATTAAAAGAAAAAAAATATTCTAACAGTAATTTTTATTGTGTGGGCTTTTCATTAACTTTTCAAAAAGCCTACCAAAAGAAAATTCATCATTATGATCAGTATTCCTTAAAAACACTTTTAGTTGTTTTTAAATGCATAAAATAAATTGGAAAATACTATTTTGACGGTTGCATAGATTTTAGATATTTTTTAAAATTGTTTAAATTAAGGGGAATTTATTATATTTTACGCATTGGTAACTTCAACTAGATTAAAATCGAGTTCTTCCGACATGTATATAGCAAAATGGGTCAGTGAGATATTAGAATTTTTATTGACAGTTATAAAAAATGCGCACATCGTCGTAAAACCAATATTTTTTCAGCTGCACATCAATGTTATAATTGAATTTAAGATATTATCTTAAATTCATTTTATAATTTATTTAATAAAAATTGATCACTTTTTTTTTTATTAATTAAGTAAAATTAATAATATTTTAAATATAGTTTTAATTTTACTTATAATTTATTATTTTATTTTAATTTAATTACTTTAATAAGCCAGAAAATAATTTAGCATTTATTATTATTAGAAAAATTATCCCATATCATTTTTCGTCATACAATATTTAATGGATAAATGTTTTAATATTTCTGTTAAAAACGGTAAAATTATACTCAAAAAAAAATTAAAAAGTGTATTTAAACAAAAATTGTTTAATTCAACAGAAGAAATAAAAGAGCTGATGAGTTATTCAGGTAATTGAGATTATTTTTAACTTGTGTTTATAGGATATAGAACATATCTTACTGGCAACTCTTATAAATTTCAATATAATTGATATTTTGCTATACTTTATTTAATAATTTATACAGAGACTACGTTTAAATCATATTAATTATTATGTGTTTTTAATAATAGTAAAAAAAAAACCCAGCACAGGGGGGTCGCGGCACAGTTGTGACGTGGTATAGTTGGATCAAGTATAATGATATCTGATAGTGATTAAAATCACTATCAAAAATAAACGCTTCGATGCAAATCTTTAGATAGTGTTTAATTTTAAAAAAATTGGTGTTTTATTCCAAAAGCTACTTGATCTGCTGGTTCCTTATTAATATCTCGATTAAGATAAAGTATGTCGAATGAAAAAGGGTTTATTAAAAAATATTATTTCTCATAAAAAAATTGTGTGGATCCATAAACTTTTCAATAAGTTATAGCATTATAAAGTTAAA